AACTGTGCAGCATACCAAGAGCACACCTCTTCTGATGCAAAATTATTTCCATCCTTTTTTTCCCTGCTGCTTCTTCATTGCAATGGACGCACACACAGCATCCAGGACTCAGCCCAGCAGCCGCTGTGAATAATGGTCAGAGCTTGCAGAAATAAAAATATACCATAAGAAAGCCAGCACTTCGACCTGGGCACGAGTGTGAGCTGGTGCACTCGTTACAGCTCCCCAGAGCACCTACTCTCCTATCCCGCTAAGTCGCGTCACAAACAAATTCAGCGGTGACTTTTGATCAAAAGAAACTCAGCCTAAGCCTTCAACTTGAGGCATCATTACCAGAGAGAAATGCAGTCGCAGAGCTCTTCAGAGAAGATTTCTACTCTGCCCATTAGATAAACCTGTGTACAAACTGCTGAGATTAGCTGGAGATTTTTTTTCTTCTTTCCAGCTAAAGAGAAAGCTAAGGGGACCCTTCCCATTCCAGTGTGCAAACACGTTACCTGCTCATCACTCGAGCCATGCGGGTCATATCATCTTTGCAATACATCTCTTGAATTCTGCAGCTTTGGGAGAAAGCAGTATTGGCCTTATACGTGCGACTTCCTTGCTTACACTGATGGCTGCTCCATTTCTCTCTAGCTGACACTCAAACTAGAGCCGCACAGCAATACCCTGAAATGTTTTTGTGACTGGCACAGTCAGTTTTGGTGACTCTCAACTCAGAAGTTGTGGAAAAAGTTTCCAAGTTTGTCAATCTGGGACAGTTCATCAAATGAAAAAGTTTCAGCAGAGTTAAACTGAATTTTCAATGAGAAAAGCTGGGAAATTTAGACCAAAAAAGATTAAGAGGGTGGTTGGGTATTTAAATGGAGCCAAACTGGTTTGTGTTTTTTTTCCAGTTTGTTATTTGCAAAGATTTGAGATACCAACTTCTCATCCTGAGCCAGGATCAGGATGTGTTGGCGGCAGGGGAAGAGTTCAAGTCTGCAGTTCCCCAGGGACACGAAATCTGCTCCCCAGCCAGCCCTGCTGCCAAGCCCAGGTGGATGCCACGCTGCAGCGCTGGATTAAAATATCCTACTCTTCTTCTGCGGAGTTTCGCTCCAAATCCCATCTGTACTGCACAGACCCACCTTCTGCACCACAAGCCAGTTTCTGAAGTTGGGGTAAATGAGCAGAGCTCTGTAGTTCAGCGCAGCCTCCAGCCCACCACTGCAAACCTTGGGCTTTGTTCGGTTCGTGAGCTGCTACCACTGCAGCTTGCCAGCAGAGCTGTCTCACCTGGGTCCTGGAAGAGACGTGGCGTTTACCAGCTGCATTGGCTAAGGGGTGTGATCTTCTCATGCTGTAGCCAAGTTGTACCAGGAAAGCACAGGGCAATGCTTGACCAACTGCGATTTTGTTCTGCCAAAGAACACGATGAGACAATGCTCTGTTCTTCCCCCAGCCCATATGGGACCTTCTCCTATCAAAGTCTGTTAGTCAAAGTCCAAGAATGATGCTACTGTTGTAGACAAGCGATTGATTTGAGGTCTTGTATTACTAAGAAGGCAAAGTTGCTTTCAGCAGGGAAGTTTGGGAATACAGCTTCCTCCCAATGCTCATTTTGATTTCTACCTAGGCATGAAGCCCAGTGCTGAGCATTAAACTGAGGGCACCTTGGCCAACTGAGACGGTATGTTTTATCCTAACACTTGTACAGCTAGACTCATGTTCTTTAGGAGGAAGGTCTGGCTGTACAGGCAGAAAGATATGAAAAATAGTCCTGAGACTTTACACTAAATGCTAAACTCTTCTGTAAAATCTTTGGCATAAAACCAAATACCTGGTAGTGAGGGTGGCTGGACACAAATGGCAGCAGGTGTCTCATGGATGTCCGAGTTTGAGACCATAAAGTTCAATGACCTGAATGCCAAAGCACTTTTACTGCATTATATACATTTGCATCACACACACTTACTATCAGTGCAAGCATAAAAGTAACTTAGGGCCTGATTCAAAGTCCATTAAAGTCTGTGGCAGGGGTTTGCAACCTTCAGCCCATGGGCTGGAGCTGCACCATGCCATCCATCCCCTCTGCAACACTTCCCTCTCCTTACCTGAAGTGTAAATTCAGACTGACGGAGCACCATCGCACTGACTGGGACTGGCAGAGGGAACAAGCCAAGGAGATCACCCACTTGTGAGAAAGGAAAGGGCGGAGGCCAAGAGTTTAAACACAAAGAGGAGGATGCCACAGCTGTCTATGCTTGTTTAACCCCTTTAACAACCACCAGTGTAGGAATGCGTGTGCAAGTCACAGAACTAGGAACTAAAGGGGACCTTGAGGTTAGAAAAGCAGGCAATAAAGGCAGATAAGAACAAAAGAAGAGGAATGTGTAAGCGTGGGCCGAGGTGCAACTTGGGGCAAAGGATGGCATTCAAGTAAATGATTACAGTGCACATTTGCAAGACTGACCACACCAACAACCCGGAACAATTAAGTCTGGACAAAGCACTCAAGGGCAATGGCAGGGAACAGCCCCGTGTTGGCAGGGAGGTGGACAGCAAGCCTGTCTGTTCTCTCCATTTCTGTTGCTTATGAAAACCACCTGAAAAACGTACCTTGCAAAGCTAAAGTCCACTCCCAGACAAGGAGATGAGCTCGCCGCTGGAGGCACTGGCAATTCCAGCTATGCATTCCCATTGTGTGGCCTCAGACGCAAGGACTTGTACCATCATGTTCAGATTAACACACAGAGGTGCGAACCTGCTGGAATCTGCTTTTCTCTGTGCCACACATCTGAATAACACTGAGAGACCGTTTCATCTCCAGTGGGGAGAAAGGGATCCCTGTTTTGAGGGTGAAGAATATACAAGTTTACCTGCACAATATGCTTCCCACATCTGCATGTTTAGAAACAATTTCCAGGCAGAAGCATGTTCTCTCTATTACCAAGTTGTTTTATAAATGAAGCTACAAATTAGGAGAGTAATAAACCCTACAAAACCAGAAAAGAAAAAAAAGCATGTTGGGATATAGTCATTGGGTTGGATTCTTTTCTGTCGCATGTTCTACATTTGAGCTTTTCCTGATTTACAGCGGTGTGAATGAGAGCAGAATCATGCCCAGCCACCAGCCACAGCAGTGGGTCAGGGGCAGACACTTCGCAGGGTTAGGGCTCCTTACCCCGCAAAAGGGGGAGGATTTGCAAAGCAACCCGGGACAGAGCGAACCGCAGCGATTAGCTATGTCATTGCTAGGATGGCTCCAGCTGTTGGCTGCGGCTTTTATTTAAAAAGGATGTGGCTTCTCTGTTCATCTGTGTGGGGACACAAGTGACCTCCAGCCAGTGGAGCAGCAGCGCCCTTTGAAGAAAACACCCACAGTTGCTGAGCTGCTAGTCCTTCATTAGCAGTCAGCTACCAAATTTTGGTGGGTGGCGACTCACCCCAACAAGAAGGGTCCAGGTTCTCGCATACTGACACCTTCTCACACGGGCCTATATAAATCATTGCCAAATCTGAAGAGGCGTTCTTGGACAGCAGTTCATTTCAGCTGGATCACCAGGATTAAAGAAAGGAAGCTCAAACCCTTACATTTGGTAACGTTTAAACATCTTCAGTAATGTCATTTTCTAGAAGTGACAAAACGGCTAACCTAGAAGTGCTGAAAAACAAGTGAAGCACAAGTTGGAGTTGAAGGAATTTTCTGAACCTTCTCGATGAGCTCTTATACATCTAGGAAAGAAAAGGGGAAGAAAGCATCTGGGCATCAGAAATACCCGTGATGAAAAGGAAAGTATGTTTTAACCAACGCAGGTGTGTCAAATGTGTTTCTCAGACGGCCGAACTGTTTTTAAGGTCTCTGGGTCCATCATTATCAATCTGCTGAGGTCAACGGGAGGTTCTCCAAAAGAACAGGGTTAAAACATAGCTGGGTGTAGCAGCTAAGCTTTATCTAGTGCCTTAATGGAGCACCTTGTCACAGCACCCAGCGTCACCCAACGGGAGACCAGGCAGTCTTCAAGACTACTGCTGCTTTGGGTTTTTCCCCTCTTCCTTCTCTTTTCTTTGGGTGCAGTAAGACAAACTTTATCCAGAGGTAGATAAAAGCTAAATTACAGTGGCTTGGCTTTCTTTCACTGGCATGTGGTAAATCACCAGCCCCTTTTACCTCGTGGTGACTAGCTGGTCTGTCCATACCCTTTTTTCTTCTCTACAGCCATCCTCCTGCAACAGGGATCACTCTTGGTCCTTACTCTCTCCTACCTCTCATGCAAACAATGACACGGCTCACATTCACGTTAAAGTGCAATCAGCTGGCTTCCGAGTTGACATTGCCAACATCTTTAAAGAAGGAGGGGAGGGGCACCAAGTTTTAACATCTCTCAGCCTGTTTCAGGCAATCAGGAGACTCAAGCAGACATGGCTTAGAGTCGATACTGGGCTCACAGCTATTTATAGCCAATAAAGCTAGAGGCTCCCTGCTCCCCCCCCCCCCCCCCCCCCAATTAAAATGCAGAGGTCCAGCACCTAGGCCATGAATTTGATGCTTCTGCTCCAGGCCCTGAAACATTTCATCATCCTAGAAGTGACCTTTCCATGTTTCATTTGAAGATTGTTTCCTTTCATTGTACCATTCCTCTCCTGGCTTCTTGTGAATGAGACCCAGCTGCAACTGCAATCCTTTAAACTGAAGTCCCATGAAGAGGTCTGATTTTCATAAAATAAAATATTGGCACAAGACCTCTTTTTAGTTGGCCTTTAATAAAATGCACTGTGCTGCTTGCTTGTGTTGTTCCTTCTGTAAGTCTCCGAGCTTGATTTTCAGTTCCCATCTTTCCTCTCAATACAGTGATCGCGCTCTTATTCAGCGGTGGGAAAGGTAATGCAGCTGGGTCACTTCTACTGAAATGTAACCCGAGGCCAGAAAGGCCTTCACTTGCCTGAGAAACGTGTAACGGCAGGGGCCTGGTCAAGCAGTTACCTACCTGTGAGAAGAATATAACTAGTGTCATTTCTGTGAAACCACAAATATTTATTTTTAATGAAAAAATACTGAAAGTGTGCCACAGTGTCCATATATTCATCTGAATAGTACAAAGATATGTATTTCTGAGAAAAAAGTCTTAACACTGTAGAAAATAAATGTGGTTCTTAAATTATGTCAAAAGAAACCAGTAAAAAAAGCAATGTTTTATACACTGGAATAAAATGAAACAATTAGTCAGAGGTAATAATAAATTATAATTACAGTATCTCAAATATTTGTTTCATGCTTTTTCAGCATTAGTTTCTAAAGTTATGTGTAACATACCCTTGAAGTTAGCAGTCAAAATGGTCTTTCAATGAAACTGTGAGTAACATGTTGTGGATCTGAGTGAGTCCTAGAAAAATGACACCACTGGTTGTTATTTACTGATACATAAAACATAGGGAACATGGCAGTTTTAGGTTTGTATCCCACATATATTTTGTTAATGGAAGTTAATTTCATTTTAGTCAAGTAATCTTCATACTTTAATGAACTAAACAGCAATTACGGTCATTTGCAAGTATGTTACCCGAGCACATTGCACCAACAATGCTCGTGTGATGCTACAGACTGTAGTGACGTTTTGTACAATCAAAATGACAAGAGCCTGGAGTCATTTTAGGGTCTAATTTAGCACTGTTTGAAAGTATAAAGTGCTTTTAAATGCAGATCACTTTTGCTCTTCAGAAACAGGGAAAAATCCAAACATGCACTTAAACCTGAAACCTCCATGCCTCAAATACTGTGTTTTAAATAGTAAAATGTCAGTTTTGTGTCATTTTTTGCAAAATTTCCCTCAATCAAAAAAAAAAAAAAAAAATAGTAGTCAAATAGGGCCTAAATTTGATTTGTGTCGTTCTCTTCTTGGTCTTGTTTATACATGAAGGTTAACAGGAAGAGGGCGATATCCAGAGAGGACCAATAGGCAGTGTGTGATGTTACTGCAGACCAGTATCTGCTCTCCACGAGACCTTCCCTGAGTTCAAAATCAATCCTGTGCTCCAGTTCCACTAGAAATGAAACAAACAAACGAAAAAAGAGTCAGTGTTCATACAATCAGATTTCAACAAACCCACCCACATTTTCCCTTCATTGCCAGTTTGCAAAATTCCCTAACCCTAGAATCTACTAGCGTTATCTAACTGCGTGCGCATTCGCGCAATGAAGACGCACTATCCAAAACTGGTGAATCGCTCATGCAGAAAATGCTAAATCTGGGGAGAAAAGTTTTAGAACAGCCTCTTTTTCCCTTGTATGCATAAATCAATAGCCCCTAGAGTCTTACAACAAGCACGAGGCCAAGATTTGCAGAAACGGCTGGAGTGGAATTGGCTGTTTTGCTCTTCAGGGCTCCAAGCGGAGTCATCTGAAAATGGCCGGGATTTTAGGAAGTGGTCTGGAAAAAACCCCCACCAGCTCTTTAAGTAGGGTTGGAAAGGTGATATATAGCTGTGATAGTCCAGGAAACACAGAAGCAAAGATTTGTTGTTCTTCTGTCTTTTTGACAGACTGTACAGTTGGTTACCTTCTTTGTTACGATCTATGAATCTCTGAACATCTACGGAGAGATGTTCGAAAACATTCCAGGCACAAAGTGTCTTTTCTTTGGGTCTCTTTAAGGCATTCTCAATTAGGCGTAAAAAAATAATACAACAGATCCCATGTCCCAAGGCTCTGCTAAAATCTGTCCCTACACACCAAACCTGTTCTCTGAGGTCTTGGACACATTCATTTGTAGTGCTACAAAAATAAGGTGTGATGTGGGCATGCACATGTGCACGACACCTGTCTGGAGGGCCACAAAGTCGTCCCAAAGGCGCACTGTCCAGGCAGGGAGCGATAGGGGGCTGCTCCTTTATTCCCGCTCCAAGCCAGGGGGGGCCCCGTCTGTGAGCTGGACCCTTGGCAGCAGCCCACCCCCTTTTCAGTGAAGGGGGACGGGCCATCAGGGACCAGCTGGCAGCTGCCACCAGGAACAACTGTTAAGACAATCCCCTTGGGTTGGAGGGCTGCTCTCCCCAACTTCCCTCAACCCCTCTCCCCTGCTGCCTGTTGGCAGTGGGGGACTGTGTCTGGCTGGCTTCCCTGGACAGCTGAGAAGCAGCCACCTCCCTGCTAGGCCCCCCTCCAGCCCCGGGGGAGGCACACCTGGGCCAAGGGTTAGCGAGGATTTAGTTAGGGAGCTTCTGGAGGGACTGGACGTATTCAAGTCAGCTGGTCCGAATGATCTCCACCCTAGAGTACTAAAGGAATTGGCCGAGGTCATTGCAAGACCCCTGGCACGGCTTTATGAGCACTCGTGGTGCTCTGGAGTGGTGTCGGAGGACTGGAAGAGGGCCAACGTGGTTCCCATCTTCAAAAAAGGGAGGAAAGAGGACCCGGGAAACTATAGGCCAGTTAGTCTTACCCTAGATCCTAGGCAAGCTGTTCGAGAAAATTATTCTAGCACACATCCGGGAGGAGCCAGCAGGGGACTGCATGCTTAGGGGCAACCAACACGGGTTCATCAGTGGCAGGTCCTGTCAGACTAACCTGGTGGCCTTTTACGATCAGATCACC